GTCATATCTGAAGAACGAACCCAATTCCTTGTTCTTTTTATTAATTGTATTACCAAATTGGTATCAAATAAATAGTAAGCATTGGTAACACCAATGCTGATAAAGTAAACTATTTTTATTTGAGTATTCCTATGTTCGGCAGTTAGAGATGGGCTTTCTTGTACAAGAGAATACAAAAAATCAATATGGACCATTACTGTATAATTATCCTTAACTTATGTTATACAATGCACCTAATAAACAAGTATGGCATTTTGAAACATGATGTGCAACCATTTTTACTGTAAGTTGTGTGCATTTTGTTGTTAACTAAGATTATGTTATGATACATTTTTTGTTGGTATGAACGTGGACGCTTTGGACATACCTGGAGAAGGAAGAAATGGGTCTTCGGAATGATGGGAGTTAAAGACCAAAGCAGAGACTAGTGTTGAAACTACTGGAGAAACGATCAAGATGCCACCTTGTCCCTCTGATTAGACGGCATGTTAAGTCAGGAAGTAGCATTATTAGTGATGAGTGGAGGGCATACAGGAGAGTGCTGAGTAACATGGGTACAACCACTACACCATAAACCACAGTAGGTGGTGTGTGAACCCCCAGACGGCAGTCATACACAACATATAGAAAGAGCTTGGTCGACCGTCAAAGGACATGTCCGTAGACTGAGAGGAAACCGTACAGAGAGTTTGTTGGAGGAACACCTCAAGGTTCTTGAATGGTCATCTTGGCTTGGCTCTGCTCACCCTGATGGACTGCTTGGACGCTTGTTCAAGGATATACACAAAGTATTTTATGTCTTACCAAGTCTTTCATTTATGTCTGAGAAAAGCTTTTATGTTTAAATATGTGTATCAGTCATAAACAGTCATTACTTTGAGTCCTAATTTTCTTCATGTGTGAATGAAATGTTTTGCTTGGCTCTTTTGCATCTTACTTTGCATTTCATGTGAAAAATGTGTATTATGTAAGCGTGAATGTTATAACTCATTCATAAATGGACATGTGTATTACACTTAAAAACAACGCACCCTTTCAGTAGTTATACATGTTAGTATCTCATCAATAGATGGTGATGTGTTTCACACTTTACAATAAGGCTCCCTTTTACCAATTATAAATGTTAGTAACTCATTCATAAATGGTCATAAGAGATGCCAAGAAACATCAAGATACATTTTCCTTTATCTGTTGTTCCTCCCATCCAATCCTTTTATCTCTCCCATTTCTTTCCCTGTTGTCCCTTTTTTAACCTTTCCCCTTTAAATCAGGCGTCTGTTCAAAGTTGCCTTTGACGGACACTGATAGGGCACTGGTCTCCTTTTCACAACACTCACACACACACTTCCCTCCATTACTCTGCTTCGTTCTACTGTAAATCAAAGCTCCACATTGCTCTCCGTCTGGCTCTTTTCCTCTCACTTCCTTTACCATTTTGTCTTCACGCCCTCCGTCTGCTTTTCATTCCCATGCCTGTGATCCCTCCAGATGTTTCCACCCCTGCTACACTCTGTCCTTCATTGGTCCACACCTGCTCTATTGCTCACCTCGCACACTCCCCTCTCGTCTGCTCGCTCACAAAAAGACGTAAGGTCACTAACGTCTTAGAAATCTCCATCGAGCATTATGGGTCCCTGCAAGTAAACCTGGCTGGGAGAGCAGCTGCTGCCCAATTTGCTCATCTGAGACAATGAATGACAATAACACTGAGGGACAGCAATACGTCCAAGAGATTACACGGACACACATTTACTAACACAAAGGCACACGCACACACATGCTCCAGTCCTGCTAATTGTTGGCTATTAGTCTGCAAGTCTGGGATTGCATGTCTTATTAAATACAGAATTTCAAATGAGCTTCGTTAAATAAGAAAGTACTCCCCTTTTAATGAAGCTAATTTATATGGAAATTACACATAATACTGACGATTCAGCGAGAGATTTATCCTCTTTGGATGAAGGGGAGGAATTAAGAGTTAAAAGAAATAAAGAGTTGAATAATGATTTTTTTCCCCTCGCTTTAGCAGGTCCCTCCTGCTGTTGGACTCTTTCTGCAAGTTTGCTTTCGAAGTACACTAGAGGGATCAGGTCATGTATGTTTGGGTTGGAGTACAGCCATGTGTGTGTGTGTGTGTGTGTGTGATGGAGAGCGTGTGTGTGAACTCCTGTCCTTGTGCTGACCCTGCAGAGCCCCAGCCTGCCTCTCTGGCTCCCACTGATCCATCATGCTGTCTGATTGCCCAGAGAAAACCCATTACTCTGAAACAACACAACACATTAGCAGTGAGCTGCAGGTGTCTCTCCTCGTGTTGTGCTCATACCTCACCATCCATGGACGCCGTTGTCATGTTTACAGTGCCCTTCTAGTCAAATTGCACAGTGGAGTTGAGGCAGAGGTCTCTCCCATCTGAAATTCACTCACATATTAGGAAAAACACATAATGCAAAACATCAGTAGCTTCATCCTGTAGGTTGACTGCATACTTAAATCTGTTTAAGAGTGTTGAGCTTCATACCAAGTGATAAGACATCATTTCTGTCTTTCTTATTCTGACTAGTGATTTATTAATGCAGGTCCGTATCTATGGTCCGTATGCAGCTATGCCCCTGCAGACTGCTTCTGTCCCTCAGGCAAAAAGCTCAGCATTGCCCCCTGGTGGTAAGTAGCAAAGAAGTAGGGGTTGGCTAATGTTTTCTCACGTCCCCTGACACCATCCCCAATGGACAGCATAAATAACATTTTTTAAATCTAGTTTGTCTCTCAAATAAATAATTTGGTGAAATACGTGAAAAGGTGTAATGAACAAGTGAGAGGAAAGCCTCAATAAACAATATCTGATGCACATCTCTGCTTTGTCAATGACCTTATTAGTGCTGGTTCACCTCAGAAGTGGATAATTATCTACAGTGTTCATTGTGTACTGTGCACGTAACATTTTTTTTTCGCATGCAATTTTTGAATTAAAGGAATTTTCGTGGAGACAGTTCAAGTGCTCAACATGTGGGCAGCACTTACTAGTTAACAAATATGTTCAACAGTTTTGTGTAATGAATAAAAGCTTTATTCAAACATGAAATAAAAAAATAGTGACGGAGAAAAACATGATCAGAACTCACGAGAAGTTGCATAAATATATACCATCAGAGCAGTTCAGGGACAACATATTTGAAAAGGAAATATATCGCAACATCAATAATCAAGCAGGAAATTAAAATAAAGGTGCATAATTAATCAATAAAACACAATAAATTGGTGTCTCTGCTGTGCAGGCCTTTTTTTTTCTTAAGTGATCTCATGGTCAAATGCGTTAAAGATTGTTGCCACCTAGAGGTTGCTCGTAGTGTTAAATCATTGCAGCCTTTTATCGTTTTTACAAAATGCACAATTAGAAATAGATCAACTGTCATTTGTAATTCATTGAAAATAAATGCAGAAACAGCCAAAGTGAGCAGTGTTATGGTGCTCTGACATAATGCATATTATGCAAAAAAGTGCATTCCTGTGAGATTATACAGGCTATTGTGTCTCAAAGCGAGGCATGGGGGCATGAACTGCAGAGCGGCTCCTGTTTCAGAGCCTATATGTCTGCTGATTGTTGTACAGTGTGACATCTGTTGAGCAAGACACATTTACAGATGTTTTCACTGCAAAATGTCCATTCTACATCCGGGCCTGTTATCACAAGCATTGAAAAATACCTGTAACAAACTGGAAAGAACAAACTGACCATTTGCTCTGCTGATGATATATTTAAACTGTGTGTGGTGTACTTCACGATCATAATACATGTGATATCTGCAGAGTACACCTGCAGCATATTGTTAACTGAGCACTGTTATACAATTGAGTTCTCTTTGCTCTAATAAGGCCATGAAGTTAAATAAACCTGTAGGCTAAATAAATGTTTACAGTCATACCACAACGTATATCCACGCTAACAGTTCAGCAAGCTTCATTCTTATATAAAAAACAATTCATATCAATATGGATGCAAAACAAATATTCACACGTGTGTACTGAACAACAGTGAATTTCAACAGTTTCCCCTCTATAAAAATAGCTTAAAAATCTGACACATATTTTAGTACAGTGTAGGGTTTAGTCAGTTTTTTATCTTTTACATCTGAGACAGTTTAATAACAGGCTGGTACATAAGTCCTCTGCTACGCCTTTCCTCCTATGACACCGCCGTACCAAGACAAAGGGCTTTAAAGACTGTCAAAGTCCCGGTAACGATCGATAAAGCGTGCAAAAATGGATCGCATCTTAATCGCATCCCTGCTCTGGACTAAGACTCCAAACTTCGACTGTCCGCAGACAGGTAGCAGTCTTTGCTGCACAGAGCTTCACATGCACAGTGGTTTAGCAGTCGAGCAGGACTTCAGGTCCAACAGTACAATACGTGAGCTCCATAGCAATGTCAGGATCATTGAAAAGGTGAAGCCGGACGGACAGAACATGCCACATTTGGCAAACGGTAAACACTGAATCTCTCTCACACAGGAAAAGGGTATCTGAGGGGCAGACACATTAAACACATAAGCATTTAGTAACCCATAACCTATAGGAAATACACCAATCCACAATAGGGCTGCACAATATATTGTTTCTTTTTAAAAGCAATTCAGACTTTCTCGCAAAAGACTGCAAGGGAATTTACGAGTGAGTTAAAAGAGTATCAGTAGAAATTACACAATAAAAAGTGATTTTTTATTTGTTCCTTTTGTGTTTCTATTGATATTGATATTGATAAAATGTTCTTTCATATTGTTAATTTAACAAGAAATGTGTTACAGTATACCTTAGTATCTGTTTATTCATTGTTAGTATTGTGACCGCGATATTCAACGTCATCGCATATCACCTATTTTCCCTATACTGTGCAGCCCTAATCCACAACTCAGCGGTTCACACACAGAAGCGTGTTGGAGACTGAGACCAACAAAAGTGAACTTAAGGAAATTATTGAGAAATACAACACAGGGCAGGAGTCAATCAACGGATTGTTACATTTCATGCACTGCACACAGGCAATAATTATTTTACGAGACAAGCAATAAACCTGGTTGTCATCACCCGCCATCATCATCATCATCATCATCATCATCATGATTCACTTTCACGCCCGGTTAAATCACATAGGCTACACAGTAGGCAAAACAATACTGTACACACATACACACAAGTAAGTGCACAGGCACACAAACACATCCCCTTACAAACACACCTCCCAATGCACCATGGGATGTAACTTAAACTTAAGTGGTGGATAGCGTGTCCCCTGATACCCGAGAATAAAAAAGCGAACAAAGGAGGCAAACAGAACGCAACACAAGCGGAACGAGTGATACAAACCACTGACAGTATAAGGACACTTGAAGAAAGATTGTATTGTTTGGATTAACTAAACACAGTTGCTATGTACCGCCGTGTCTGCTGGTTATAGCTTGTCAAAGCATATTAAATAATAACTATTTGTCGTGTATGGCAAACATAAATTACTAAGACCTCTTGCAGTAGTTGTTAAAAGGCCACTGAATGCTTGTGTGTGTGTGTTTGTGTGTGAGAGAGATGCAAACTCAACAGCACAGGTAGGAACTAGCCATAAAGTCTTTAGCCTTAAACTGTCATGCATTGACATTACCATATAAAGGACTGAATCACAGCCTCGGTTTCTTGCTCAAGTTTCCAATCATGCCATTATAAAGATTGAACTGTATGCATACAGTACAGCATCACAGATGACACTGCAGCTTCCTGTTGGTAAGTCACCAAACCTGGAGGAGCCCCTGGAACAGGGAGAAGCTGATTACCAGGCTAGTGATAAAAGCAAACGAAAATACAGTACCTCCATCTCGTAACATGTTGGATTTCAAAGGCAGAAGCTGTCAAATAATGTCAGTAAATGATCAGAGAGTTAAGTACAAGCTTCAGTTTTGTGGCTGCAACTATGCAAAATACCTAAATAGCACAAGTATTCTGCTGGAGCAACTTATTTAGCATATTTTCCTGACAACAGAATATCAGAGTGCTGTTTTACAGAGAAATTAAGGATTTATTTTGGGACTAGAGCTAGTGGCCTGTTTTTTAAGTTGAACTGAATAAGGCCCAAACTTGAAAATGACACCCCGTACTGTAAATCTTTACATTATCACTTTGTTGACCTGAAGTTAAAATGTCTTTAAACTTCTTGAGTTACTTGACTTTAACTGATTCAAAGTGAATTTAGTGGAGAGCGACTCAGCTTAAAAGTACCCAGCGACCATCATTTTACACAAAAGGACACTTTGAAATCTTTCCTCTTAAAGCATCAAACCCAGCACTATCCTGCCAATGTCCCATCTGCAGAAAGCCCAAATTAATAATAAACATTTCTAGCAGACAGTAACACTGAACTTTTCCAAACCCCAAAAGGACAGTTGTATGATAAGGTTTCTTAGTGCGCTTAAACATTTGTTTAGGAGAGAAGTAGACAAAATTAGAAGTTGTATAGAGACATTATTTCATATTGTCAGATCTCCCTCACTCAGTCTGTCTTTTTTCTCCAATTCTTCCAGCTCTATGAAGCTTTGGCTTTTCTTGCCCGTGGCGACGTTTTATCCTCAGACTTCAAAACTCCATTGGCAGCACCTCCTGACAAGACAAGGGACTAGAATCATTCCTGATGAAAGCCATTTCAGATGTATATGTTCAACAATGAAAATATTAAAGAAACAATCTGAAACGAGACAAAAAACAGAGTATTGCATTTGATTTATTTGGTTTACTGAAAGGATGCTTAAGTTTGTGAATACTCACCCCTTGTAGGCTCCCTTTTTTGAGGCTTGCTCTTTGGGCTGACTGCCTTCTTCTTTGACGCCTGGTTCTGGCTGTGCTCCCTCCACTTTTTCAACTGGAAGTTGATGAATTTCCACATCATCCAAGCCTGTGTCAGGCAGATAGCAGCCAGACAAGTCATCCTGGTGGGAGAGTAAGATGCATTTTAAGAACTACAAAAGTTATTTAAATTGTGAACAGAAACAAAATGTTTTAGTTTGCTAGGTACGACATATTAAAACGTCTTCCTGTCATCTGCACTTGCCTTATGGTGAGCACATTGAAGTTGCCTTCTGCTAGAGAAAAGCCCTGGTTTTCTGTACGGGGCAGCCCAAAGCCAAACGTCAGAACTGAAAGAGTGAGGGTGAGGAGGCGGGCAATCACAAAGAGTAGCGCCCACAGGGTGAAACTGAGAAGAAAAAAAGACAAGAGGTTGTTGAAATCAGTAAGGTGGAATTTGCTCATTTCGAAAAATGACAGCTTGATTGTAAGATGAATGAAAGCAGTACCCCTTCTGCTTGTTCTCATCACTGAAGTAGAAGAGGCGTGAAGCGTGGAACAGGAGCTCCACTAGGTAGTGAGGGACCAGCAACACCAGGCCCAGTCTGTGGAGGCTAACACAGGGGAAGAGGAGAGAGGGATGAAGACACAGAATCAACTAAGACCTCAGCGCATGAACAAAGAGAGAAGACAACACTGAACATTATCAGATATAGATACTAAACTTTAAACATACTCTTCTTACAGATACGGCTGAAAACACAGTGCGACACCACATGGTTTAATTTCCCATATAGAGTCAGCTGACCTGGCCTTACGTGTAAAGATTATGTTCATGGTGTTGTGTGAAAACTAAAGAAATCTAATACTGAGCAACCCCTGAGTCTAACTTTTGAGAACAAAAAAAAACTAACAATAACGTATTATTTTTATACACTTTCCTGCAATAGCAAAAATTAACAACGTTTTATCACACACTGGTTTCAAATATGTATGCGAGATATAACTAGGATATGCTTCCTTATTTAATTCTCAGTGGAAGCCATGCGAACATTTAATTATTTCACTCACTTTAAGACGTAAGCACCAGTGATGTGGACAACGTAAAGGCAGATGTAATAGAGCTGGCGGGGGATGTCCTCCTATGGAAATAAAATAAAAGGAGAGACAGAAGTTAGTAACAGCAGCAGCATCAGTAACCTCAAAGAGCACAGCTTGGTTTAAAGGATCACAAAATATTTAATAGTCTTATTTAATGTTTAGCGATTGATCTTAAGGAACAATGATTTTCTTCAAACACTGCTACAATCAAAACACAAACAAGGCTAATTAACACCCCTGTTTTTACACTATATGATACATCTTCTATGCAATTTATGCCTTAACATTTACTTGGCTCTAAAATTATGGCCATACACACATACAATCCCTAACAACAACAATGGAGTAGAAAAAGCTTCTTTGCCAGCTTCTGCATGCTTATTCAAACAAAAAAACATTTACAGCTTGAGTATAGGTTCTGCAACAAAAGTGTTGTTTTTTTTAAGGTATTCCTGGCTCTTACAAACTGCACATCTGCAGAGTTGTCAGCTGATTCTTCATGGAGGCACATGAAAACGCCAGCAGGGATTAGCAGCGGTTAGAGGGGACAATAACTGACTGAGGTATAAACAACTGCATTCAACACACTGCAGAGCCATTACACAAAATGTCTTCACCAATTAATCTGTAAAAAGGTTACACTGCAAAAACAAGACTGCTGATGGACATAAATATGTTGCTTTCAAGTAAAACCTTTTCTTAAACAAGTCTCACCTTCCGTACTTTTTGAAAGTATAGTTCAGGAAGTGCATGGAGCCAATAGGCAATTTGGCAAATGTAGAAGAACTTGACCTGAAAACTAGACAGAGGACAGGTTGTTCAGAGGAGAGAGTCTGGGTGTTATTTCGTCTTGGACAGAAGTTCATATCATATTAATGAACAATAGATAATGCTGTGCATGGTGCAATGTTCTGTAACTTCTATTAAAATACAGCGAGAGGTACAACAAATGGCATATCAAACAACATCTATGACTTTCAGAATGTGATATGAAAGTTAGAAGAAAAAACAGGAAGTTGTTTTTTAGATCAATTCCATTACCATCTAATTCAAAACAAGTGAAACAATACAAGTGTATAATTTATTTAAAAATAAGGGCTGAAAATACTTCTAAATGGAAAAACTTCCTCAGTAGAACTCATTAATAATTGGATAATGTGTCAGTTTGTACTTACACCATGTGAGTGTGTGGGTACCCCTCCCATAAGAATGTAGGATTTGTTGCAAAGTCCTCCTGTGGGAGAAGAGACAGGACATCAGATATAGCTTAATGCATGCTGGGACAGAGTGTTTCTTTGACTCCTGACCGCCATACCGCTGTTAGGATGCTGCAGCCCCAGATGAAGGAGAACAGGTAGAACGCTGCCAACTGTCCAGACTCGTTGAACTTGCTGTGTTTGGTTTTTGACAAATGCAACCTCCTGTTCATTTTCTGAAAATGAACAACATATTACACAAGGTGAACACATAGATTAATCACGTTGGGGACATTTGATTCTTCCTTTTCTATCTTTGAAGTATGCATCCCTCTTTTAGTTAGTCATATCTCATTTCAAAACAAAGATATTGGTACATTACATTCCACAATTGACTTGTGACGCAGCGTCCACACGGCGGCGTGCGTTGAAGCTTTCCGGCGGGCGTGTCTGAAACTCGACCAACAACCAATCACATGAATCTCCCGCCCCAGACACACAAGCACGCGGTTTGATTGGTTAGAGCTTGTACTGGCATATGATTTGATTGGCTGACGCTTCCCTCGAAGCTTTAAAAGTTGAACATTGCTCAACTTTTGAAGCGAGCACCGCGAGCAAAGCGTAGCGACGCTCCCACAATGCAGTTCCGCGAAGCGTGACGTCACCCCATTCAAAGTGAATGGGCAGAAGCGTTGAAGCTTCAACGCACGCCGCCGTGTGGACGGGCCATGAAGAAAAAGGGTTTAAGCTTATAGAACTGCCTGTTACTGAGTTATAGCTGTCATGCTTCAAAATGAATATAATTAACATCAATGAAGAAGAGGAATATTTCAGCAAGCAGAACCTTGACTTATCTTTAGAATAATTTCCTCTTTGTTGAAAGTCCACCAAAGGTTTTTATTTTTGGAATCAAATAATAATGATAACCACTAGGAACTGACATCAAAGATAAAAGACATCATCTTTTCATGAACATCTTTTCAGTTATTATTGTTTATTCCGCATGCAGCTAGAAGTATTGGATGTGATAACTTCTATACAAGCCTTAGTCATGGATCAGAACAGAGCAAACACATGAGCGTTATTTGATGTGTTTCAAATGAAAAACTAGACCAATACATCTGACAGTGTGCAGGCTGAGAACATAGCGGCAGAGTGATCCTTCGGCACAGTTTGTGTCGCTCATGGCATGTTAATACTCAAAGGTAAAAAGATCAAAATAATAGGCAGCTGTGTGCGAACAATAAAAAACAATGTGAGCCAATATTATGGCTGTGGAGTTTGGATATTGATGTACTCACGTCCAGAATATATTCTTGTATCAAGGCATGAAGGATGACTGCAATAAGCAAATAGAAAAACACAGTGGCCACATCTTTAGGGCCGTACTGATACAGGTTCACTGGATCACTTTTCTCATCTGAAACAAAAGAGAAACACAAAGTTAATGCCTAAACAAGCTGCGCATTTTTCCAGAAAAATGTTGCAGGAAAATGCAGTTCAATTTCAGTGATCTTAAAAAAGCTGAAATGAGTACTAGCACTGTTAAATTGAGCTCACCAAGAACTTGTGTTACATTGTACTGGACTGTGATGAACATGATGGCGAACTTGGCTGTGACCTGTGACACAAAGAAAGAAACAGGATCAGATTAAAGAGTTTCTCTCTGATCACGAAAATGTTTCATACAAAGAAATCCAAGCCTTTGGTTAGTTAACTCACACTGAAATAAACATGGGAAATAACTCTTACCTGTTTGGGAACACTACTCTTAGGTGTGATAACTTTCTTCAACATGTGCACATAATGATCAATTCATGCACATACAGATTTAGATTAGTAAGGACTGTCGTGATAGTGCAAAATCCTGAATTCAATGATAACCATAAATGGGATCTGGGAACATCCAGGGGCTCTAGCAAAATTAGGTATTTTGTAAAGTCACTTTCATTGTTAAAATGCCTCTAACCATCAGTAATGGTATTGATAATGTATACCAAGCTTTATAACCCAGCATTATCTTACAGGTAAATATTGACCATGAGTAAATCTGATCAATTTAAACAATATTTCTTTGGGTGTGGACAGGTCAGTGTATTGTTTCATTTAAAGTCAGCTATACTTTATCTATCCAATCTATCCAAAATTGCTGTTAGTTAAATGTGTAGCATGTAGGCAGATATTTAGCCTGGCTATGTTGTTGCCAAAGGCCAGATACGTATTGATTTCCATCGGAGGCAATGCATTAGCCTGGTAAAATGACCTGTTAGCTGTGCCAGTGGGCCTCCTCGCCATCTTCTTTGGCAATCAGTGAGACACATGAGAAGGGAAGGAGAGAGACACACTATCGCCCTGCCCCTGTAGTGCTGCTGTCATGTCAGCTAACGATAGCAGCAGCAGTTAACATCACTCTGCTAACCACAGCTCCTGTCCAAGCACACAGTACCTCGAACATCAGGCCGAGGAGGATAATCATGGCCAAACACGACACCATGTCGGCGTGATTCTGGATCACAAACTCGTGGCTCAGCACCGGGGGGCTCTTGTTCTTCTTGCGGAACCCCATGGCTCACTGACGCGGCTCTCCCTGCTCCGGCTCCGGGCTTCAGGCTGCGCTATTTCCCCCTCCCGCTGCACGGCTGCTGTTGGCGGCCTCAACGGTCCCAACGGACGGCTGTTTGCTGGTCGCTACAGTCCGGACACACAGTGAAACGCTGCTTTTAAAAACAGTCATGAAGATGCATCGCACCAAACTAAACACTACAGCACAACACCCACTTTCCCTCTGCCTGGTAAAGTCAGATGACGGGTCCTCCCACTTCATAACCCCCATTCATGAACCGCCCAGTAGATTGACGTAGAAGGAGAACCCAGGCCCGTGGTGCGTTCAGGGACTCACATTTCTATATAGAATTGTACTTTTTTATTCTATTTTCATTTTGCTACGAAGAACCAGAAGCTTTAACTCAATAATTGTACCCTTGTATACGTAACTAAATATAATCTGTAAACCAGGTAATTGAAAGCCAGATTAAAACGAGAGGTATTTAATTTCCTTTCAAAAGTACAGAGAGAGCTCTCAATTCTAATATGCAGATGCAGTGCCAAAGTTAGGGCCATAACATAATAATAATAAAATAAAAACGTTTTTTTTTTTAAACAGAGGAGAAACTAATTAAGATCTCCGATGTAGGTAAGAGCAAGGCAACATATGAATAAAATAACTTTAAAAGACAGGCTACAGACGTGCAGTGTCTTTTCTGAACAAGTTTTAGTTTTCTTATTGACTTTTTAACTAAGTATAACAGCAATTATAGCAGTCTAAACCACTAAATACAATCATGCAATACCTTCATTCAGCAACTTTCTGTATCAAAAAGGTTGGAAATATTAAAAAAATGAAATTCGGATGTTTTATTAACCTTGCTAAAGATGGAATTAAGCTCAAGCTTAAAGTAATAAATCACTCCTAGTTTTAATCTGTTTGCTAGAATCCCAAAGCATTTAGTGCATTTCTTTTTACAGCAGGATAGGGATAGATTTAATGAGGCTTTTAATATGGGTTATTGTAGTGGTATCACTGTTAATCTCTTATTGTTTTTCTGTTTTGTTTTCATAACTTGTTTTTAATTAAGTTTTTTACTCTTTATTTCTACAAATGTGCTATTGTTTTTATTCTTATCTTGCTCTGTAAAGCACTTTTGGCTGCAAGTTATTTTTATTATTATTATGATTTAATCCTATAATATATTATAGGCAAAAGATTAAAGGTCTAATGTGCACCTTTGAAATGTTAAATGCATATTGCGGATAATAGGTTTTCAATTGTTCTGGATGCAGGACAAAACCGAGGTCTCAAATGTAAAGCTCAAGATTTTATTTTGGAGAAAAAAATAAAAAGACCGGAAGTTTCCATTGTGTGTGTTTGGAGACCTCCCGTTTTTAACCAATTGTACTTTAGTCAGATTGTTACTTATACGTGTTTCATCTGATTTAACGGTAATTAATGGAGAAATGACAGAGAAAACCAACAGTCAGGTAAGTAATGTTAACATGGCGTTGATGATACACGATCATTACTGCGAACGGCTAATGCTAGCTAGCGTTTTAGCTGTCGTCACCTTAGCTAATTAACCGTGAGTCGAAGTTTTATTTGAAACTGTTGAAAGGGTGAAAGGGTGGTCTTTCTTTTAATAATACACGCCAGCGAAAGTCAGTCTTTTTGTGGTTTAAGTAACTGCTGACGTACGTCTTTTGTGGCTTTACCTGGGCAGTTTAATGTCATTGTAAATGTAACCCCATAGCTTTTTTTATTAGCTAATAATTTGCAGCCTAATGTTATGTCAAATACGCATCCAGATGACACATTTTGAACACGTTTGGTTCTCTGCCGCTAGAGGTCAGTATGAGACAGGACCGGAATAGCTACACATAAGCTAACCCTCTACTTTTAAACCAGTTGGCTGAAATGTGATACAACTTCACATAACGTAATTGCCATGTTAATATCATATAATTTGCAATAGTATCAATTATAGGATCAGTTTTAATACAAATTGCGTAGTGTTTCTGGTTACTCTCACTGCCCGGCTAGCTCAGTCGGTAGAGCATGAGACTCTTAATCTCAGGGTCGTGGGTTCGAGCCCCACGTTGGGCGCACAACTTTTCCACTTTCACAAACTGGTTCGTCGTACTCGATTGCATTTTATAAACCTATTTGTAAACCACATTTCAGATCTGCGGAGAGAAGAGAAGACAAATAGTATAAGATAATACTACACTGTAATAGTTGGTAAATTATGAAATTATTAATAGGTCAACAAATTTAAGTCAAGTTTGGAAGCGATTGTTCCTTTTCTTATAGTCGGACGTCCTTTTTAACTGCGTTTAGGAAAAACCCCTTTCAGTATAATGCAGTCCAATATAACAGTATAATTTACACACCTATAGTCATTCTAGTATTGAGTCAACAATTGCTTCAGCGAAACATGTATGACAGGGTTATTAAATAGGATTTATTTACATCCTATTTGACTAATTGTGTATTTTATCACTGCTGCTGAATATCAAAGGACACAAAAAAACAGGTGCATTATTCAGCTGTGTTTAATTATTAATGATCACTGTTATAGCACAGACGTTAAAGAGGAATACCCTAAGCACATGGTGTATAATTGACATTTGAGCATTCCTTCTCATAGAGGAAGGGATACATATTTAAAAATGTTTTACTTGAATTCATGTTTACTGTTAACTCATCGGGTTATTACAAAGGCCGTTAAGTTATTCCAGTAACACCAGTAACGTGTGACATTAAAACATATTATTTACATAACTATTTTTCACTGTCCTTTACAAATCATCATAAACATGTTTTCACTGTACAAATTCTAATTTGAGCTGCCTTATTTTCTTATTCTTTTTCTTTCAGGCGGCATGTCAAAATAGGTAAGGAGCAACAGCCTCTCTTTTTCTCTTGTAACAGCCAAGAGGGAGGGAGGAGTTTAAACAAAGGCCTCTCCACATAAAAAAAAATGGAGGCTTGTGCAGGGAAGCCATGGTGTCCTGCTCTTCACAGTCTACATGCTGCCATTCATACTTCTAAAGCCTTCAAATAAGACAACTACAACCAGGGTCTACACTTGGAAGCTTCAAAACAGTGTCACACAGGGTTTGTATGTCAAAAATACTTATATTAATCATGTTATTTTGTGGTTTTATGGCCTAGTTCTATGCTTATTTTTTCTTCCCCTGTCTCTGACACTCACAGTGCTGCCCCTGCCTGCACTGAACAAAGATAATTACTCAGGAAACATTTCGGCCAATCAGAAGCGGCCTTGTATCCTGCCTGTGAGGAAGGCGACCAGTCAGGATCTGGCTAACAACACCGGGGCCTGATCGCCTTGCCTGAAGAACGGAGCCTTCCCCGGCTGAGGGCTGAGAGTGTCCTCCATGTTTTATAAGTGTTGACATAACAGTGTGTCAGGCAGCCATGCATCCACAGAGGTAAGCTCTGTCTTTTTTTATCTTAACTCTCTGATAATAACATGGCTTCCTTCTTGTCGTTGTGGTGACTGTTGATTTCTCATGATGAATGTGCACACCTTAAAAATCAGTTTAGTGTGCTGCAGCAGCAGGAGGAGGAGCTGGGGTGGATTGGAGGCCTCGGCAGGCCTCTGTGCTCCACTGTGGTGAGGGTGGGGGGTTGGGTAACGACTCTCACCCTTGCTCTCTCTCTGTGTCTCAGGGTCACATGGGTGCCCCAGACAACCAGGCTGCCATACAGGAGGCAGAGTGGACCATGGCAAATCCTTTTCCTTTTTTATAATGCAAAAGAGAGTTAGATCTAAAAATGGCACCCACATTTCCCTCTCTGTTGTGGCAGTCTGTGTTGTAGCCTGGCAGAGAAAGAATGGGGGATGGGCAGTTGAGGGCGAGAAGGGGGGGTATTATGTACCCTTTGTAAGTGGATTGGCTCTGTGCTGTTTTCTTGTGTGTCATGCCAGGCCGGGGAAAAGACGTGGGGGGCAACAGATGTGCCTGTTAGGAAGACACCGAGTCAAGAGCATATCTGAATACTGGTTTTTAGTCTTGATATTACACAAGAAAAGAAACTGAAAACTGAATGACTTGGTACACATAAAGGAAACTGTACTGGGCATAGTTTCCACTCTCCTTATGAGCCGGCACGAAACAAACCTTTTTACCAAGGGAGATCTTCCAGTTGAATCTATAAGAAATAATATGTTAGGACTCAGGGTTGTTCTTCTTTAAAGCTACAGGCCCTGCGTTTACAGCCCTGGGCTTCGTCCTCTCTACAACACTATTGTGAAACTGCTTCCTCCACTCTCTGATACTCAGAAGGACAGGGGCCATTTTGTGTTTGGCTCTCCTCTAGTGCTCTCCTCACAGACCAGACAGCAGGGACAGGGGAACAACACAAGACTAAACAGGTTTTTACTGACGTGTGTGTATGTGTCTGTTTGTGTATGTGTTGCAATATTTTCCCCTCTTGGTACTCCGTGTTCTTTCTGCTTCACACAAACAAGTAATGTGATATAACGGATATAAAGAAAGACGCTTGTTTTTATAGATATTTTAATGAAATATACACAAAGACAAGGTGCATGAGTAAACCTGTCACTGCTTGTTGCCCCTGATTTTTCAGAGCACAGACTGTACATTGTGTTACATAATGTATCACCAATTTAGCAATCTCTACTGCGTGGGGGGAAACAAAGGACGTTTTCTTTCTCTTGTGGCATGACACAAGATGTGTTTCATCTACACGACACATAGAAAATAGTAACAAGACAATCTCTGCTCCCTATCTCTGTAAACCCAGAAGTTAACTTCCACTATTAAATAGAAATGAATCCCTCCCATAGATTGCATTGACTTCTTACTGTTACTCCATAGTGCTTGATTAAGCCTGTTTGTATAAAAGCGACACCGATAGTTGGAAATGTCAGCAATGTGTAACGTCGTGTTGTTTAGACAGATTGGGTGGGCCTCCTTCTGAGTCAACGAAGCAGCTAAACAGGACGGAAGAGGTTGAATTGCAGAGTCGTGCATGACAACCACAAATACAATCTCCAAAGAAATGTCATTCTTTCAAATCCCCTCTGTTTTATTCTCTCATAACCACGAAGGGCAAACTAAAATGCAAGGAATACAAAACGTCTTATGCAGGGGGAAATCTCTGCATTGCAGCAAAAATGCTTTTTAAGAGGAAGAGGGGAGCCTGCACACTGTGATCCGTGTGGCACAGCGCAGCCGACCAATAATGTTCCACCCTGTTGGCCCTCCAGCCAATTGCAGCTGCAGTCGAGGTTAAAGATTGACAATCAGAGGGAGAGCAGCAGGGAGAGCAAGGGCCTTCTGGAAAATTCCACAGCCATCTTTGATTCACCCTGTACAGCCTAATATAAATCCAGGTCAATTTTTTCTTTAATACACGATGTTGTGTGCCTAGTATTGTTTAACATTGTGAAGGAGTCATGCTAAAACAGGTTATGTGGTTAAAATAATTGTATTACATTTTAAAAAGGATCTTATTCCTTTTGCTTTAATTATGTTTATGTTGATTTCAGGAGAGAAAGCTAAACTATGCATTTCTTCATTTTTCTGCATGCGGTTGTTGGTCTTGTGAAAGCTGAATGTCTCTTGTCATTTGAAGATCCTAATAACCTCTCTTGGGTTTTTTAGGGTAGCACAGGGAGTTGGATGTTTTGTAGTCACTGGTATTAATCCCAAGTGTTTTCAGTGGCAGTTTCAGAGCAAAGAGTGCAGTAATGATGTTTGCATCGAGCAGCTTTCCTGGACCGCCATAAAGAGAGGCCATTTGTTCAGATATGTGTCTGTTGATGTGTAAGTACTGCACATTCTTTAAGTATAGAGAAAAGCTCTGCCAGCATCGCAGTGTGGCTTCACAGTGATGGTCCCTCTTTCTTCAGAATGAAATCTAATTATTCTATGACAGCAGTATTCAGGCAAGGAGGCAAGCCATGATCGAAGGGGAAAAAAAGGGAGATGAGTGCCTCTCATTTTGCTGGATTTTCCCGTGTCTCCCTCTCTGTGTTCCTCCTTATCTGTGTGGTCGTCAGTGAAGGTTGGTCTTGACACAGCCGTGTTTTTTGAAATGTTGGACTGTAATCTCCACAGATCTCTCTGGTCCTCCTGTATGGATGTGCCAGTGCCTGAGTCTCGGAGTGGGGGATGGGGGAGAGGGGGGAGGGGAGCAAGCTGTGGCCTCCATTTTCTGTGACGAGAGAACCCTGCTCGTCTCTCACAGGAGTGGAATCTAAAAGGCATTGAGTCAGTGTTATTTCCTTTTTGTCCATCAGGTACTGCTTGCAGAGGGGAATACTGTGTGTTTTCTTGAACCCCGCGTCTCCCTGGAATACATCCCAGAATCTGCTGAGGATTTATTTGCCTTGTGTGATGGATCATAGCTCCTAATCTGAAAATGTCTTTTGGATCAGCATACTTTTTCACTGTGGGTCATCCTGTCTTCCTGGTAGTTGCAGCATAGCTTTTTATTAAGTGTGTATACATGATAGGGCTGTGGCACTTTGTGCAGCAGCTCTCCCCGCTGAAGGCGAGTGTCTCTCTTTTCAGGGCTGAGGTACACGTAGCAGAGCGGCTTGGCTAACGTTGTCTTATTTTCATGTGGGCCTCGTTTGTTCACTCAGTCCGGAACAGGAAGGCCCCGGAGGGGTTGGGGTTTCTCAGTGTGTGTGTGTGGGAGTGAGTGTGTGGGTGTGTGTGTGTGTGTGTGTGCGCGTGGCTGTTGGCAGGCTGAAACAAGATACCCATATGCCATATTTCAAAAGAAACTCTGCTCTTTTCAGGCGAAGCAGCTTATGATGCATTTATTTTCTTGAGTTTCACTTTGATAAGCTCTCTGTGATAAGCATACTGAGAGAACAATGAATGCTTTTAGAATAGCCTTGATGATTGTGAATTGTTTACTTTGTCACATTATCTGGAATTGTGACTAGCAGAAAGGGGATGTTTTAATCATTTTTAAACCTGAGTTAAAACATTAAGGATGACTTAGTGTTTAAATGGGTGTAGATGTGATAGCTGATGTGATCCCATCTAATCTCTCTCTGAGTCGTTAAACCTTTTAGGATATGTGTAGTAACCTCCTTATGCCTCTCAGAAAACTGACATTTGATCAACTTTGTGAGGAATGTCTCTTTAAGAATGGAGGAGGGGACTTGAACAGCATTCCTTTACTTTCAGAAGAAGAAAAAAAGAGGCTTATCCCACAATTGTGGTTGACCTTTGAGTCGTAGCCTGTAAACCCGTCATCCTAGCTGGAAACCAGAGCTGCAAGCAAGCTATGAACTGGTCAAGTGTGTGACCTGTCAGGGGTCTTTGGGAGGGTTTTCTTCTTGGGGCTTGAGAATAAAGGCGACATCCTTGAAACAGGGCCCTCTGTTGCTCTGACAAAGGAGGAGCCAAATACTCAAAGACTTGTATTTATCACCAGAACCCCTTTATTTTCACCCCCTTTGACTCTGTCCTTGGAGGAAAAGAGATGAGAGCAGGACATTAGACCTCGGAAATCAGGTTTTCCTGTACTTTATGTGCATGTGGGCAATTATATTCTTCTATTCGATTGATTCATAACTTGAGATTTAATTGATCTATGATAATAATAATACCCTGATTACACAAGCTTTGTAAACACAGCAGGATAAAAAGCTGATTTTAAAAGAAACCATACAAAATGCTTTGTGTACATGTATGTAACTACAAGTATGTGTGTGAATATTTTCTTAATGGAAAATGCATCAGTGAAATTTAAGAATTCACTGATTGCAGTGATGCATACATGAATTTGTCTAAGAAAGCTGTTATTAAATATACATGCAGTGAAGCTTTAGGCCAACCTTTTTTAGATATACTTCGCTTGAAGCTTGTGAAGTCAGTCTCTTGCTATCTGTTGCCAAGAATGGGCCAAAATTCTCCTGGGTCACCCTGTTGTTACTGAAGGGGCTCGAGAGGTAGCAGAAACATATACTGTTATTATCATGAGACACTGGTCATCCATTAGTAAGGACCTACTCCCTCTGACTCTCCTTACTAATTTTCTTTTGACCATTTGTTATCAAGAAAGCACCGCAAAGATCAGGACCTAATTTGGCTACAATCTATAGCTGCTGAAGGACGTAGGGTCGTATGTGTTGTTGTGAATATTAATTCACGGAGGAGCGTTGCCATGGCAATTGTTACAATTTCTTGGAGTGTAAAAACTTATTTGGACATGTTTTTCACTGATGTAGAAATAATTTGAACTTGGAAGCACAATGTCAGAGATGTGCTTAAATTAAGTGAAATTAAAATGAATAACAATGGTAACCTGGAGTAGTCCCTATTGACAGATCCTTTGGGACCTGGGTGCCTTAGGTGGTTTTCCACTTGTTTACTGTTATGCTGCTGTGGCTTCTGAACACCCTTTCTGACTTTGTGTTTGCCTCTCTTTCTCTGTTTCTGTGTGCTCTTGTGTGCTGCTCAGCAGTCTGGCTGAGGAGGAGATAAAGACAGAGTCTGATGTGGTAGAGGGGATGGATGCATCCGTACGATCCAAAGGTAAGTCTCCAAAGGCCGAGCACCTCTCACTAACAGTCAAACATCTTAGGCATTTTAGTTCCTCGATAATGTAGAGGTTATTAACTGTAAGTTATGAGAGCTGTGTAATGCATCTTCGGTCTCCGAGGATTGCAAAGATAATCCATCATGCCTGGCTGCCTGCCTGTTTAGAATTAGTCAAGTATCAATGCAGGGTTTGTTAGTTCAGTGGGAGCCCTTGAACAATTTGTTACTATAATGTGGTAATATAATATGTACAAGAGGCATCCTTAGTAATAATGAGATCAGTGTGACTTCTGTCAGCAGTAGATATTTATTCACCATGTTGTTGTAAACGCTAAGCACTGCATCTGACCATTTAATATCTCAGCTGAAATAAGATGTGTATTTCCTTGCTAAACTCTAAGATTGGGGGATGCTGGGAAGGATATATTTCTGTTAATGATGTTTTCCCCCATCTTGACTTTTTCTAAGAGTAGCTTAATAACTGTCATGGCACCTGTGTTTTAATCTTCTTAAGTTTCTGTATTGTGCAGTGAACTGAACGAGTCTTTTTCCCATTGTGTGATGATTTGATGTCTTTCTTCTTCCAGTCCCTGATCCACCAGGGTCAGCAGAACGGCTCGTGGCACCACAGAAGAGAAAGGTGTCCAGTCCCACACATTCCTCCAATGGACACTCTCCCTCGGACACCTCTCCCAGCCCTCTCAAGAAAAAGAAGAAGCCTGGGGCCATTCACAGTGGCAGCAAAGACCAGGTAAGTGCTCCAGTGAACTCATTTCGAGATCTGGCGTGCTCTCCAAGGCTATGGACGACGGTTTACTCGCTCAACTGGAGGCCTTTCCTTCAGTTAGCAAAGGAGATAGCACCACAAATAATCCAAAACAAATGCCCCATATCAAATGCACAGTTACGTTCTATTCAACTCTCTTTTGGTACCAGGTGTTTCTCTTTTTTTCTTTCCAATATGGATAAAACCCCTTCAGTACAGACGGGATTGTCAGCTGATTGTCATAGCGACACCTTGTGAAATTGTCTTGACATCATTTTCAATGCAATGTGATAAAGTCTTTATTTTTCAACCTAACCAAAAAAAACACTGCAATGTAGTTTTGCAGGCTGTTGCCTTTGAATATCGGGGTCAAGTAAATATAAGACTAATATTGATTTTTAAGTAGCTTGACTATTTATTTTACTATCCACAACCTTTGCTAATGGAACACCAAAAAAAGAGTTTAAAAAAAAGTCTAGTTTAGTAGAGCCATGCAGTGGAAATGTGGTGAAATAAAACATGAGTTTGGAGGGCTTTGTTTTCCAGCAAAGTTCCAAAGCAATTCCTCACTTAAATACAAGATATAAGATAAATACATATCGTAGTGTCAGAGCACGTCAGTATTGAGTTTTATCCGTAGTACACTCAGTTTAAAGATCGATTTGTATGGACATAACATGCATGGATGTAACCTGCTGTAACGTTGGAGATGTCTTGCTGTAATAGATGTGTTGTGTAGGTTCAGAGCACTGCCATGAATGCATGGTCAGCTCACAGTTTATTATCAGACATTTTGCATTTTTTTAATAAATGTGGTTATGCAGAATTTAAGTGAATGTATTTTGATGATATATATGCATATGTTTTCCTTAACTGCTTGCCAATTATTGTGGTGCTGAGTGATTCCCTTTTGCCCTTCAGTCCTCTGTTGAACTCACTTTAAACTGACAGACAATTCTAGGGCCGAACAATTACTCCTTATTTTAAAGTAAATGCAATATGGCTTTTTTCAAATGGCATTAGGTGCATTATTTGTTATAGGTGAAATGTGTTAACAAATATTTTAAATCGCTCAAGTAATATTTAATAGACTAGAGACTTAAGCTAAAGATAATTTTGACTGTGAATCAGCTAAGTACAAGTTGGGCAACAGCTCTCATACTCAAGCTCACACCCTTAAACCTGTTTGGATTCACTCAGTCAAATGTTCAGATAATTTAACTATTTATTGTAAATAATTATTTAGTTATGAACTGTTATGCCCTATATGCTGCTTTCCCTGCATAACCATCCTTATTGCTGTCTTGTTTTTGTTGCACTGCACCTCTTTTGTGTTCCTGCGTGTTTTTGAAACCTGCCCCCTTGTTTTTCTTACCTGCATTTCAGTCAGAGCTAAGACATGGTCCCTTTTACTATATGAAGCAGCCAGCACTCACCACAGACCCTGTTGATGTTGTACCGCAGGACGGCAGGAATGACTTCTACTGCTGGCTGTGCCACCGCGAGGGCCAGGTGCTCTGCTGTGAGCTCTGCCCCAGGGTGTACCACGCCAAGTGCCTCAAACTACCAGCTGAGCCCGAGGGCGACTGGTTCTGTCCAGAGTGTGAGGTATCTCGCAGAAGACGTGTATGTGTGTGGCTGTACAAAAACGATTGTGGCAAGGCACAATCTTGCTTGCTTAGTAGACAAAACGGGTGTCAGACTATGTGCCATGAACAGCTTCAGGGACACAAGGACAAATTGGTGAAATAACTGCCTTTTGTTTTGGCTGATTCAAAAAACCTTAGCCCTACATGACACATGGTGCGACACCCGGCAAGCTTATTGCTCACACTGCAAGTTTTAAAGATGTTAGATATTGAACATTTTGATCAGCTTCTTAATATTCAGGCAAATTTACTACGCTCTTCTTTTCATTGGAACAATCTAAAAATCTAAATATACAAGCTAAATCAAAACAAAACATCTAAATCAGACTGTTTATTGGTATCCTGTTCTTGTAATTGGTGTTTGATGATTTCATTATGTGTTCTTTGTGTCATTATTAAAAAAATATTTATTTTGTTGCAGAAAATAACAGTTGCTGAATGCATCGAAACCCAGAGCAAGGCAATGACATTGCTCACAATAGAACAACTCTCCTATTTGCTCAAATTCGCACTTCAAAAGATTAAACAGCCTGGGGTAAGACCTGTAAAGATCCATTGTATGCTGCTTTAATAAGCCTCTTATAATCTTCCTTTGTCTAAGAATGTGTTTTTTATAAAGCCCCTGAGGCAAATCTGTGATATTGTTAGATAAAAATAGAAATGACTTGACTTTAAGTGACATTTATATTCAAACACAAAAGTCCAGGACATGCATTCAGAACATCAGACATCTAACATTGGCTAATGCATCTGTCTCTTATTTTTTTTTTTTTGTCCACGGTGAGAAGACTGAACCTTTTCTGAAGCCTGTGTCTCTGGAACAGCACCCGGATTATGCAGAGTACATTTTCCACGCCATGGACCTGTCAACTTTAGAAAAGGTAACTTTTAATTGAATTGAATTTAAATTAAAACAAACATAGAACCATTCTTAGGAGCAAGTTCTGCTGTTCCGATTTTATGATGAATGCTTATTTTCTTTAAAGTGTCTTTTAATCTTGTCTTTTTCTCTTTTTAATAGAATATCAAAAAGAAAATGTATGGCTGCACTGAAGCCTTTCTTGCTGACATGAAATGGATTTTACACAACTGCATAATCTATAACGGAGGTAAGCTAATTACATATACCAAGAATCACCCTATTCAACAAATGTAAACCATTAAATTAAGATGGTGATTTGATTCCAGGCAATCACAAATTAACAGCAACTGCTAAAGTCATCATCAAGATTTGTGAACATGAGGTAAGGAGCTTTACTAATTTAATAGTTGCAAATATTCCATAAATATTTGTGCTTTAATCATTAATTGCATATCTGTTTTCTATTTTATACATATTTTTTAGATGAATGAGATTGAGGTGTGTCCAGAGTGCTACCTGTCTTCATGCCAAAAAAGAGACAACTGGTTTTGTGAGCCATGTGTAGGTCCTTACATCTTGAGCAGTATATTAATACAGTTAAGTTCTGAATTTAGAGATGTCAGGCACTGACTTATCCTGCTTTGTCCCCAATAGAGTCCACCCCACCCTCTGGTCTGGGCTAAGCTAAAGGGCTTTCCCTTCTGGCCAGCAAAAGCACTTAGAGAAAAGGACGGGCAGGTAGACGCACGTTTCTTCGGGCAACATGACAGGTAAGAGAAGCGTTTGAGCATTGTCCAGGACATTTGCTCTATGTATATGAATTTGGGAAACATCTAAAGCCCAGATAAACATCCCGGTTATTCTAATTTGGCGATTTTTTTTATTGTGCTTGTATGTAGGGCCTGGGTACCCATCAACAACTGCTACCTCATGTCCAAAGAGATCCCTTTCTCTGTAAAGAAGACAAAGAGCATTTTCAACAGTGCCATGCAAGAGATGGAAGTCTATGTGGAAAACATTAGCAAGAAATTTGGGGTCTTCAACTATGCACCCTTCCGGACACCCTACACGCCCAACAACCAGCTACAGATGCTGCTGGACCCCTCCAACCCCAGTGCTGGGACAGTGAAGACAGAGAAACAAGACAAACTCCGCTTCAACTTCGATATAACTGCGTCTCCTAAAATGGTCCTGGGCAAGAGTTCCACACCCAGTGGCATGAGCCGGAGGGTCTCAATGACAGACATGCCTCGGTCTCCCATGAGCACCAACTCCTCGGTTCACACGGGGTCGGATGGGGAGCAGGAAATGGAAAAGCACAGCAGGAATCCCGGCTTCCACTACAGCACTGGAGAGGAGTCAATGGACTGTACTGGTAAATACATGTCAAAGGGACTATAATCAATTTTTTTATATGAGCAATTTATCAAAAATATTTCAAAACAGCGTGCTGGTAGCAAGATACTACAAATCTCCAAAGAAATGCATTCATCAGGTGGCTAGAAACACATCTTAGAATGGATGATGATGTTGCTCCATAACTGCTGTGATTATTAACCAGACAAGCCATGAAGAACAAATTCAAATGTTCAATAAGCAACTCTTTGTCATGAGTGGAATGATGGCATTTTTTAAACAATTTAACATTTGTAATTACAGCATCTCCTATGTCAGGGAAGATGGGTCCTGCAGGCAGCGTGGCAGGCAGCCCGAAGCCCTTTAACCCTGGACTAGTGCCCAAGCAGGAGAGGACTGCAGGGACAGGCGGTATCCTCAATCTAAACCTGGGTCAGTACCAACAGTAACTGTAATCATGTTATCATGAAGACCAATATTAAACACATCATCATCATTATTATTGCGCTCATGTTGTGCTTAAACTGAACATTTACCTCTGTCTCCTCAGACCGGGTGAAGGCTGAGATGGATCTGAAGGAGCTGAGTGAGACCGTGCAACAACAACAGCAGCAACATCAGCAACAACAGGGGGGCTCAGCTTCCCTCCCCACCCCAAAGAGGTCCATCAGAAGCCTGGACAAGACCATTGAGAGTTGCAAGGCACAGCTCGGTACATACACAATTACCTTTGGTATATTTTAAGCACAGAACTTTATTCTTTTACTCAACAAGAATCAGTTTTTGTGTAGTCTATTAGCAAGAAGAATGTTTTATTTATAGTTTGAATATGATATATATGCAATATTTCATGTCATACATTTGGGAGGATTTACCCAAAAAACATAAAACAAGAATCTTTCAGAGATAGTGTGACTGCCACTGATTTAGTACTGGTGCCAGGCTACTACCAAAGAAAATTATCTTATATTCTTTATTACACAGTCTGACAGAGACAAAGTACACCGTTTTTTGCTATACTTTTAATTTAATTAAGAATATACGCTTCTCCATACAGGTATAGATGAGATCTCTGAAGACGTGTACAAAGGTGTGGATCACAGCGACTCAGAGGACTCTGAGAAATCTGACTCAAGTGACAGCGAGTATCTCAGCGACGAGGAACACAAGCCAAAGATCTCAGCCCAGGACGACAAGGACAAAGCAGAGAGAAAAAGGCCCAAATCAAGCGCCGATGGAGAGAGTAAGGAGGGAGTTACAAGGACAGTGGATAAAGCCACTCCTGAACCCATGCTCAAAGACAAGCACGGTAACAACGGCCTAGTGAGGGACCTCCAGGAGAAGCCCAGAACGCCTCAGCCTCTCGCTGACAAACCCAAAGCCCCAGAGGAGGGCAGAGCAGCTGCTGCCACATCATCAGCTGAGCAGGACTCTGACTCTGAAAGAGAGCTGGTGATCGACCTGGGAGACGAACATGGAGGCCGCGACTCAAAGAGGGCGAGGAGAGAGCCAGGAGCCAAAACTCTCAAAGAGGCCAATGTCGCCAAGTTGGAAGGTGAGGCCTTATAGATAGCTATCTAGCTATCTTGTCCTCAGGCTAGTGTCTGAGTCTGTTGTTCCTGTTTTCTTATTTATACATTCCGTGGATTAGTGATGTGTGTTTGGTCAATTACAATAGATAACTTATTATGGTCCCCCTTTTCTTAAAAATACTATTTATAAAACGTCTTTATTCTCAAACAAACAACCTTTATCAGAAATATAAATTGTCACATTACGAAATTTGCACAAATCTGGCAAACGGTTAACCTTTCCGAAATTCATGAAACACAAGTTTTAAATACTAATGGCGCATTTCCACTACACGGTCGGCCTCGGCCACACTCGGTACGGCTCGGTACGGCTCGGTACGGCTTGGCCGCGTTGGGCCTTAACAGGGCCGACTCACTTCATGCTGCGCTTCCATTACAGTTTAGGAACTGGGGTAGTATCTATAGTAACGCAGTGTAGGCGGAGCCGTGACGTCATCTTCAATGAGAAATCCAGAAACACAACACAGCCGTTAGCTGTTAGCACTCAGAGCTCACAGCTCCTTATATATGTTCAGAAACTTGACAAAAGTTAAACAAGTACACACCACAGACTGCCTGTGTCATGGTGAATACAGTCGCTGCTTTATTTATGTCTGTATAGGCCGTTGTTGTGAGTGTGGACGGTCGGAGCATATACTGCGTTAGCTTAGCCAATCTCCATCTAGAAAAACACGAATTTTAAAAGGTTTTTCGCCTGCCGTCTGTCTGCAGACTTGACAAAGCATTAATTCATGGTTTTTACTAACCGGTATCAGTATGTTGTTACTTCGGCATCATTTTGAAACGTGTATTACAATTAAATCACGGTCAAATATGTCCATCTTGTTGTAGTTCTAGCCCTCTTGCCAGCGCTCCTCTCTCTAGTTTAGCATACTCAGCCCGACTCAGCCCTGTTTGTTGGCCCCGATAGAACCACAATTTTCTAGGGCCAGAAAAGAGGTGAAAAAGTGGCCCCGCGCCGTGCCGCGCCGGTAATTGGCCTAGTGGAAGCACAACCAAAAAAGGGGACGGCACGACACGGCACGCTTAAAGCGAGCTCCGCGCTGCAGTGGAACTGCGCCATTAAAGTACTCTGTTGGAGCCACAAAGGCTTTATCCAACAATCTTTAGACATGGACATTGAAAATGTACACGAGAACTCTTATCTACTTTACTCATTACCAAAAAAATCCTGTTAATTGAATTATTTGTCTTCAAAAGTGGCTCCAAGTCTAGTTCCTCAATTAACCCTGTTGGGTTTAAATTGACCACAGTAGAAATCCATAATGCCTCACACTTATGGAGAAATATTATGATTTTTTTGCTCAGGTAAACTGTCTTCATCAGCTGCAGCATCTGCTCCATCACGGGAGGCCGCCTCTAACCTAAAAGACTCTTTACAACCGGCCATCACAGCAGCCCTCAACCTTGTTTCCACTGCAGCTTCTGGTCAGCCCAGTGCTGCCACAGCCTCCAGTGGATCCACCAGTGCACCCTCTCCTGCAACATCGCCAGTACCTGCAGCTGTAAAGAAACAGCGCCCTCTACTGCCTAAAGAGGCCGCTCAGGCCGTGCAGAAGGCGGTGGTTTGGAATCCAACCAAGTTCCAGACGTCCTCTCAGAAGTGGCACATGCAGAAGGTTCAGAGGCAGCAGCAGCATGAGGAGCCGGCAGCCGTGCAGTCCCCGGCTCAGAGTCCGGGGCAAACACAAAGCCCACAGCAGCTGCAGAACTCCTCAAGTACCCGCTATCAGACCCGACAGGCAGCCAAGGGTATATACACCAGCATAATCATTCACCTGAACATTACACCAAAAATAATGAGATATAAGAGGATAAAAAGATGATTGATTTCCATTTTGTATCCTCTATTCCCTACAGGGCAAAAGGACGTACCTCAGAGTACTTCCTCGTCGACAGCTGCCCAGGTCACAGGGAACTCCTCTTCTTTCAGTTCAGGAGACGTGCAGATCCCGACAGGCTCAGCCGAGGTGGCTGCTGACATAACCAAATACACAAACAAAGTAATTTGGACAATTTTACTTCATATGAATAATATAACTTCTCTGCCACCTTCACTTTAACTGTGTACTAATATCAAAATGTTCCTAAATCTTGCAGATGATGGACTCGATAAAAGGGACAATGACTGAAATCTACAACGATCTTTCCAAAAGCACATCAGGAAACACCATTGCAGAGGTAAATTCACGGCATATAGACCAATGCTTGTCATGCAAATACTTGGCAAGTTTTAATCTCCGTTTATTTTTGCCACAGATCCGGCGGTTAAGAATAGAGATTGAGAAGCTGCAGTGGCTGCATCAACAAGAGTTGTCTGAGATGAAACACAATCTTGGTAAGATTCTAGCAATATGTCATCACACCTCTGAGAGTGGATTTACTACTGAATCAGTCTTTTCATGAATATTTTATGAATACTGTTTTTTGTGTCTTTCTTAAATGTAGAACTGACAATGGCAGAGATGAGGCAGAGTCTCGAGCAGGAAAGAGAACGTTTGGTGGCGGAGGTAAAAAAGCAGACAGAGTTGGAAAAGCAGCAAGCGGTGGACGAGACCAAAAAGAAACAGTGGTGCGCTAACTGCAGGAAGGAGGCCATCTTCTACTGCTGCTGGAACACCAGTTACTGCGATTACCCCTGCCAGCAAGCACACTGGCCTGAACACATGAAGTCCTGCACGCAGTCAGGTAGGCAAGCATGGATGATCCAAAATGGAAGTTTCAGCCACAAACACAATACGGACGGTGTTAAAGTAAGAGATTTAATATCAGTAAACACAATAAAATCTGAAATATAATGCACATTCAAGTTTTGTTTAACCTTTTAAAAAGTACTGGTAATAATAATCAACATATATATTTTTAGAATCGTACTTCAATGGCCCTCATTGGAACTTCTATTTTATCTCTGTCATTCTTCCTAAAAACTAATCGCAAATTGTCACGTATTCACCAATTCCTATCATCCTGAGCTCATCCTGAGCACTCATTAGTTAAAAGGCCTTTCAAACCTACTGAAAAGAGTACAGTGTCGGCTTGCAATAACAAATACAGATAGCTTACCTCACCATTATTTTTTTATAGACAGTCTTGCCACTGACGCAAGCTGTGGGGTAAGAGGCAAATTCTGCAGACATCACAAACACATATACAGTACATTGTCAATGTTCTCATTTTTATATTTTATTTTTTCTTCCAGCCTCAGCTTCTCAGCAGGAACCAGAAGCAGAGTCAAACTCCATCCCTTCAGTGAAATCCACAGGCCAATCTCCTCCTGCCACACAGACCCTGACCCCTGGAGCAGGATCCATATCGGACAAAAGCAACTCTCCCACACTTATTGACAAGAGCAAGGACAGTGCTGGCGTTACTGTGACCTAACTGCTACACTACAGATACTCTCGGACACCTTGCATTAACGCTGTGGGGCTTTTTACGTCCGACATGTGGCGTCAAACTTGGTGCTGGAAGGCCTCTGTGACAAATCACTTTGATGTGTACATCTGCTTGGTCGACTTTTTTTTATGTTTGGTTCATCTCTCATTCACAGTTTCCATAAGTCGGTGATCAGGTGGATTCACCATGTGAAAGTAGTCTGTCTTGAGAACTAAAATGTGAGGTTATACGTTTTCATACTGTAGTTATGTTATAGCTCTGTTACCACTTTGTTTCAACTCTGAACAAGATTGTATCAACCAGCAGAATATTTACACTTCTCAATGCTGCTCTTAGTATTTCACAGCTGTTGTATTTCTTTGAATGGTCTTCATATAATGACAAAAACAGCTATTGATAGATATTCATTAATCATTGTGCCATCACAGGTATTTTGAGTTATGCAAGTTCCACCTTTGTTTTAAACCATGTCCGCTTCATGTCAGCTAAGATTTTTTGATTAATGCAATGGTAAACATTATATTTACAACTATGTCCTCTTCACGTCAGCTGGGGCATTTTTGGCTCATACCAATTTTGTATTGTTGTTCCACATTGTATAGAAAACCTACATAAAAATATCTGTGATTTATAAAAAAAAAAAAACTAAGACGTGTAAACTGTACAAAGTTTTGTAAGAAAGTACCTGGACAATATTTATAGTGTTATATGTTTTTATAGTATGTTTAAGGAAATCACATTTCTATGTGTCTAAAAAAAAAAGTTATTTGAAAATAAATTACTTCATAATATGAATGTCAGCTCTGAGCGAAGCCTCTGTTTATAACTGATTATCCAAAGCTGATCAGACTGTGTCTATAAGAAGGTGGAAAGATAGAAACTGCATTTGGCTGGATATTATTTCCTGTGAGCATGTCTGTTTTGGGCTTGTGTTCGTGTTTACATATTGTACATAAAATAAATGGACTTGTGAAGAAAAAATAAAAGTGCTCTGATCAACCTAACACTGTATGTGCCCCTTGATCATTTAAAACTCTATATGGACATTTATATTCCAAACATTCAATCAATTGAAACATTCACTGATTGGCTTTTGAGTCTTAAAACTGTTAATAATTCAATTATATGAATAATCAGTGGTATTTTATTCAAACATATACTTTCTATATATCTATACAAGCAAATGATTGGATAAACAATCATTTAAATAAAGTAATACAATTGGGGGGTAAATGAATAGAAAGTAACAAGTCAAAGTCAAACGTTTCTGTCTCAATATTTCACTATTTTTGTTTATTTAAAAAAAACTCAAGGTGAGTTTCACATGTTAATGTTAATATATCTAATATAAGTTGAGTAGCACTTGAAATGTTTTGGCTCTATGAAACCTGATGTACTACTTATATGATTCTGTTTTCTTCAAGTTTGTATCTTCTTGGTCGAATGCACTTATTGTAAATCGCTTTGGATAAAAGCGTCAGCTAAATGCAATGTAATGTAAAGAATCTAACTGGTGGGGGTTTTGAGACAAGCTGAACAGGAAACCACGGGGCTTTACGCCCGTGAGTAGTTCTCGCGAGATTACGAAACAACAAGGCAGAGAAAATGGAAGGCTGTGCTAGCTAGCTAGCTGGTTAGCTGAGCGAATCCAATAATAACTGGAAACAAAACGTTCATATGCAAGGTACGCATTCGGTTTTAGTGACGGTGTTCATTTACTTTCGTACAACATGTGACTCTTGTGTGGGCAGCGTTGGAGACACTTATCTCCGTAGCGTGTCATAGCTCACAGTGTAGGAGCTAGCTTCTAGCTAGCTAAATGAGGTGCAAGAGAACAATGTCAGGACAACTACTATCTCTAAGAAGTAACTCTGGAGTGTTTGCATCGTTGCACAAGAAGGACGTTTCATGTATACACTTCCATAGCTGCCTGAGATCTAGTAGTGACTAGTGAGGGTGGTTGTTTCGTTTCTTACAGTACATTCAGAGTACTTGGACCCTATGGACTGCAGTGCACACATAATTATCACTCCTGTTCACGAGTCTTTGCAAAAATGCACACCAGCACTGCATTTGCACCAGACATATTATGGGTAAAATCCTAATGTCCTAACACACCTGCCAACCGTGAAATAGTTTTCAACACATACAAACATTCTTTGTAAATAACGCAGCTGGATAAGGCGGTTAGTAATCGCTCAATTGAGGATTTACATGTACTAGTAACAACGCGGTCTACAGCATATTTAAGACCATATTGCAAAAACGGAACATTATAACCTTTTTGATGTATGGCTGTTGTATTTGACCATATTTGTTTTAGTTCACTGGCCCTAATGAAACGTTGATTAAATGCATGTTGTATGAAGTAGATGTACAAGCTTTTCTAGTAACTTTCCATGTGGAATAGATGGCCATTTCTGCATTTTCATGTAGCAGTTGTTGATAATATTATAAAATAAAAATGTACAGTTAAATGGAAAAAAAGGTTAAAAGGAAAAGCCTACTATTTACTCATAAACTAATGTGGATGATTTGGTGAAAATTAGGCTTTGGCAGCCATTTCCTCATTGCTTGCAAAAGTACATATTTGTTCTGCATTTATCCATCATCTTACTTGCAAAATGATTAATATGTACTAATAAATTACATCCTATGTTTTTCGTAGCTACCAACACATGTCAAAATGGATCCAATGGAAGATAACAACATCAATGATTATAATTATGGTAAAATACATAATTTTTTCAATTTATATATCTGTCTTTGTTAAGCACTTTGGGTTGAAGCTTGCTTTTTAAAGTGCTATATGCATGAAACTTGATTTTCTTAGATGGGCTGACTGGTGCTAAGATACACATGAAAACGTTTTTAGCTCGGTTAACCCTTTTTGTCTCTGTCTTTCTTTAGAAGAACAGCGAGAAGAGGCTGGTTCGAGTGTTAGGCCGACCATGTCTCAGGTTAAAAAGTCCTGGGGCTTCAGACGGACAACAATCGCCAAAAGGGAGTTCTTGGATGAAGTTGGAGACCTAACAAGCAATCCTCAACCCGTACGCAGAGCCAGAGGTTGTAGAGCCAACCCAACACCCCAGCCCTCTCCAGAAACCCAGAGAGTTTCCCGTGGAACCAGGAGTGTAATAGATGATCTCGAGTGGTCTGCCCCATCGTCACCGGTATCAGAGGAGAGCAAGCCCGCCTCCGAAGCCTCAGCAGGAGGGAGCCTTGACCCCAGCTCATGGCAAGATTGCGGGTCTGCCTTCCACACTGCTTTCTCACTGCTTGGTGGAGGTGAGGGTTTGGCACTGGACATGTCAAACACACTGGCAATCCCTGACATTTTGGAAGTCACTGACTCCCTTGAAGCCTCGCCACCCCAACTCATAGAAGAAACGGAGGTGCCTGATGATAATGAATCTACTGATGAGATGGAAATCTCGCAGCCTGTTGCACCTGACAATGTGGCAGGAGGAGAAAATGATGACGTTGTTCTGATATCTAGTCAGGAAGAGGACAGTGATGATATGACTCTGATGCAGATAGCTTCAAAAGGCAGACAGGGAGACACAAGAGGTAGAGGGGGGAGAGGGGGGAGAGGTGGAAGAGGAAAGGCCAGAGGAAGGGGGAGAGGCAGAGGAAGAGGTAGAGGAAGAGGTAGAGGACGGGGCAGAGGGAGAAGCAAGGCAGTGGCGCTTCAATCAAGGATTATTGATGAAGAGGACAACGACAATGAGCTGGTGGTAGTCAATCCCGCTGATCAGATGCTGCAGCAATTTCAAGACAAAGACAATGATCCACAAGATCCTGCTGAAATAGTGATATCCTCTGCTAACTCTGACATCACTCTGAGTCCCACTCAGCAATCTAGCTCAGACTGCATAATCATAGACACTGATTTAGACCACATTACTGATATGACTTCTGGCCAGTACGCTGATGCACCAGAAGAGGAGAAGAAAGAAGATAATAATGTAGAAGAGTTTTCACGAATATTAGATACAGACGGCTCTGATTCCAATGCGCTGTACTGCATCTGTCGGCAGAAGCTAGATAAAAGGTATATTCTGGTAACAACATCTCTGGGGCATTGGGGGTTTGCATACCTCAACCATCTGTCGGTTTCACTTCCTGATCTCTGCTGTTTTCTTCTAGGTTCATGATCTGCTGTGACATTTGCCAGGATTGGTTTCATGGCGAATGTGTTGGTATCAGTGCAACACAGGGTCGTAAGATGGAGAAGAAAGGGCAAGAGTACGTGTGCCCCCCTTGTACTACATGGAAGAAGCTCCATCTCCTACCAGAGCCTCAGCCTGAGCTTAGCTTTCCTGAATGCTTGACGCTAAGTCCACCCAGTGAAGAACAGGAGGAGCACCAGGAGCAGAAAGAACTCAAGGTTAGAATTTCATTTTGATTGTGACTGATCTCCAGATGGCTCGTTATCCTTATGCAGTGTTCACACCTACACAACCAAGGGAGTTTTTGCATTGCTTACTCACACAAGTCTCTGGTTTCAGGAGACTTTGTCTGCGGTTGAGCAGCAGCAGCAGCAGCAGCAGCAGCAGCAGCAGCAGCAGCAGCAGGAGAAGGAGGAGGATGAGAAGGAGAAGGAAAAGAAGGACGAGGAGAAGGACGAGGAGAAGGCTCCTGTGATGATGGCAACGCTTGAGCCTGATGCTGAGATGGAGACAGGCAGCTCTCTTCCTCTGTGCATTGGACCCGAATGCTCCAAACAAGCCCTACAAGACTCTGTTTACTGTGGCACTGACTGCATCCTGCAGCACGCCGCCTTCACTATGAAGACTCTTTCTGTTCCTAAAGTGCCCAAGCCCAGAGGACGGCCTCAGAGAAAAGCTGCCACTGCCAAACCCAACCCAACGGTAAGTTCTTTATAACATGGACACAGAGAAATTGAGAGAGACTTTAAAGGTGTATAGCAAATTGTTTTCTTATTTAGTCTTTTCTCATTTCTGTCTGATTTAATGTAAATATTTGTTATAGTATGAACTACCTTTTCATTTTTTAACCTAAGCCAATATATTCCTCACAGGGTCAGAGGTCGGGTCGGATGTCAAAGAGATTAGCAGTAAATGCTGAGGAACGTGAAGAGGAGGATGTGAAGGAAGATGATGGAGGGCAGGAGGAGGCTGTGTCTCACTTAGCCTGCGACCCCAGTCTCACAGAAGTTCAGGCCACTTCCATACCATCGTCTAAGTTTTACACAGCGTGTATGTACCGTTCGCTACTCATACACATTCAGATCACACAGCAGTTTATACACCATGCACAAAAGGCCTCTTTGGCGTTTCAGATTTTCCTCCCTATTTGAATCCTAGCACTACGTAACACAATCACACACACACACACACACACACACACACACACACACAAATACACACACACACACACACACACACACACACACACACACACACACACACACACACACACACACACACACACACACACACACACACACACACACACACACTTTCTCTCTCTGTGATGACTGATAAGTAGCAGGGGTCAGCATTGGGGTAAGTATGCTCACTTTTATAGTTATTCTTTTGACTCTAAATGCCCAAAATGTGTCTCAACTTGTCAGGATTCAAGGATTCACATAAACCTGTCTCATAACTGGTTTAACTAGTAACTACAACACAAAGCGAATGTGTTTCGGGGAGTTCTGGTAGGCAGGGTGATTTTCTACAATTTGGTATCATTTTATTGAAACACTGCTCCGATGTTCATTCCGATGGACTTTGCAAAGGTCTAGCAAACTCAAAAGGTTCACACTGAAGAATATGCGCTGCAGAAGTCCTTCACTGAATGATGCAAACCAGCTGGAAAGAGCTTAAGTTGGTAACAAGGAAGTCATTTCACATCAACACACTTGGCAACAGTCTATTACTTCAGAAACATGCCTCGCACTGTGACATAAGCTGCTGGTGTTTGACCGTGTGAAGAATGATTTAGATTCAAGGTTTTGGATGTGTTCATCACTATAACCTGCCGTGCACATAAAGCAGTGTGTTTTCGCATTCTTATGCATGAAGATGCTCACATACACAACATTATTCATTGTTTGAAATGTTGAACCCCATCACGCCACACATTATATTCTCTTAAAATCAATTTTGCCAACTTCAATATCTGATTATTAAAATAAGTTAGACAACCTTAAGTCCTATCTCAGATGTGTAGACACATAAAAACCTTTTTAATAGATTTTTCTTCCAACATTAAAAACTCGCACTAGGATCTGCATTCTCCATTTTATTACAGACTGCATGCCTAAAATAATTCTAAGTGTGTATTTATTTCTCAATATGTAAGAAATGAATTCCCTTATTGTTTTAGAACAAAGAATTTCTTAACTTCTCTAAATATAATAGCCATCTCCAGACGTGTTTTTCAAACCCCCATGTTCAATCACCAGCAATTTCTCCCGATTGTCAGCATAATTATTAGACGTCCTATGCCTCTATGAGGCAAGATCCTTTTTTTTTTTTTTGCAATTGCAACTAAGTTGCATTTCACAATTTTCCTTGTCACTCGGTCATGCTCAAACAACTTTCCACGTATCAGAGAAAACGTTTGCATCATATTACAACTTACAGTGCCTTATCCATCAACACCAACAAGCAAACAGAAACACTGTGATTTCAGAAACAAACAGAAACACTGACATTAGCTGGGATAGGATTTTGAATGAAAAAGAACTGGGCATCTGGTGAGGAGGAGGAGGAGGATGAAGATGAATTGAGTGCTCCAGAGACTCAGTGGGGACTGGAGGATTCATCAGTGCAGGTGCTTGGAGGAAGTTTCACCTGGACTTCACCGAACAGCGGATGGGAGATTGTGTCACAATTCCATGAAGATGATTTGGAAGTGTCAGCCTGCCTTGTGCTGCATTCCTCCGAGCCTCTGAGAAAAACCTGGCCCCCTCCTGCAAATGAAGAAAGAGAACAGTTGAATTCACATGCAAGCTAGAGACTAGGGAAAGACATCATTTTGGTCAATGAGTGTGGGTATAGTGGTTAAATAACCCTTTGTGGGTTTTATTAAGTCAGATTTTATTCCATTAATAGCTTGAAAATAATATAATACATTTATGCTATAGTCTGAACCCCTTCGTTTTTCGTTTACACTCGCATATGCATCCATTTATATTCATACAAACAGCAGGGAACAACATCTCTGTCTTCTGAAACACATTCATTTGCTTTTCTTTTGAATGCTGACCTGGGGTCAGCTTCTTCTTCCTTCTCCCACTACTGTGGAATTTACAAACTGAACAAAAGCCATCAAACCTTACACTTACAAATACACTTCACAAACAAATGTATTCAATATAAAGGAACCTAAAGAGGACCGAAGGTCTATATCAGAATCAGCTTTATTAGCCACGTCTGTGTACATATAAGGAATTTGACTCGTGACGATTTTTATGTTGCTCTTATTGTAATTTCACACAGTTCCAACTATATAGAATAAAAACAAAGATAGGAACAAATAAACACTAGTTACAACAGTTATCTACTAACAAATAGGTCAGAATAGAAAATGTATATACATTTGTATAGTTTACTGATACAGAGATTTACGCATAACACATTGGTTTAAAAGGCCATAGCCAAAGGACTATAGTTTTTTTGATACAAATATCAAGATGTTAGGAACTTTAGTACGTTTGGATCAATACTTGGACATGAATCACAACACACCACTACTACTACTACTACTACTACTACTACTACTACTACAATAATAGAAATACAAATGATAAAGGGAAGACTACTTAAATGAGAAATCCATTTACAAAAGTCCAGCAGTCCATCTTGGTGATCACCTGTTGCATTCACTCCTGCTTGACGCCTCAATGATCCTCTGAATGTGGAGCTGTGGGCGCTGCCACATCTCCAGAGAAGGTCCTAGAGCTGCTCGACTCACTGCAGGCAGAGGTCCCGTCTCCAGCTGTTGGGTTGCAGGTTGTCTCACATGTTCACAATGGGTTTGAGATCAGGATCCAACGAGCAGTCCTCAGGGCAGGTGTTGCCTGATGAATGGTGGTGTTTTTTGAGTCGCTGCACAATTTCATCCCTGCATCACTTGACATCATGGATAAAGTGACCAAAACTTAAAGATATGGCTTTTTGAAGAAGACAAAATGTGTTTATTGCTCCTGAGGCACCTCAAAGTCATCCTCAGGGAGAATGTCAAGTAGCAAGTCTTGGTGTCTTACTGTAATGCAGGTGGTAGTTTGAGTCAGTAAGTAGTTTTCTCCATCCTGGTCGATAGTTTACAACATTTCCACATCCTTGATAACAGATTTCCTTAAAATCCATCCAACAAAAGAATGCAAAGTTTGACCTTGAAATATGAACATTTACAGTATGTTTAAAGAACATGATCAGTATGAGATTACTAGTCATTGGAAGAGTGAGTTTGGGGTTTGAATCATAGTTTAATTTCAATTTCTGCTCGACACTCCAAGGACCCATAAGCACAAGGCTGGACGACACACACAGTCTGTAGCGCTGGAGTTGCCTTCAATGATAACCCGGTCTCAGTTGCCCCACGTCTGTTTTGTTTAGTTAACCTTCCTCTTGGGACTGTGATGAAAGCTATTCCATAGAGCAGCATGCCTTCTTTTTTAAAGTATATTAAAGGTCCCATGTCATGGCCATTTCTACTGATCATAATTCCATTGTTGAGGTCTACTAGAATAGATTTATATTGTGCAATTTTCCAAACTCACATTGGTTTCTCATACAGCATCTCTGTATAGTATGTGTATTCACCAGGTATTCACTCTCTGTCCTAAACGGCTTGTTGGAGCTCCGGCCCCCCCCTCCCTGTGAGCCCAGTGTGCTCTGATTGGTCGGGACGTTGCGAGGCTCGCTGCTCAATGATCTGGCTTACTGGTGTGGTTTCCGGGTCGGCGATACAGCGGGACAGCGCGAAACTCATCCTGAGCACACACAAACACTCACAGCCGAAGTAAAAACAATAAGCGTGGCTTGATATTGAGTAAGAAAAAGGTTTATAAACGCTGTGAGAATGGGTCTGCGGAGAGCATTTCTCCGCGATCCCAACTCGTCTATTACCAACCAGGGAGCTCTATGCAAGTCAATGGGACTCCCTGTTAGTTGAAAATGTACGCTAAAGGTCCTGGTGTGTGAGGAGCTCCGCGGATTGGTCCATTTTGGTTCCCGGAAGAAACAAATGGGAAAAGAGAAATCTCCAACGAGGCGTTTTGGGGCAGCATAGACAGGTCTTTTCTGTGTTAGAGTTTTACTCGCTACAGGGTGTACTACAGAGTTTTTGATATATCAAAACATTACTAGTTAGAGGGAATTGCAATTGAACCTTTTTACTAAAATTGTTTAAAATTAAAGGTGGGGTAGGTAAGTTTGAGAAACCGGCTCGAGATACACTTTTTGTTATATTCCATGGAATGCTCTTAACATCCCGATAGCAATGAATATCTTAAGTGCTTTGACAAAAAATCCATTAAAAAATGTCATCTGTGGAAGCCGTAATACTGTAAAAAGCACGACCAATCATTTTAGCCGGCCCGGCTAAAATGACTGGATGGCCTACCTGCCTGTCAGCCTTCCATCTGTGCACAAACTTATCTCGTGCCCTCATTGGTCATGTGCGCGTTCGTGTGTGTTGGAGGAGGGGCTCTGTAAGGAAGTGGGAGATTTGTTCCAGCTGTGTATTTTCAAATTCTAGCGATCTCGAGCTGGTTTCTCCAAAATTACCTACCCTACCTTTAATCAATAATGAATTATGAAACTAAAGCTACGGAGTAAAAGTAAAAGAACATTTTGGTCCTTAAAGTTAGAATAAATGTTTTACCATGGCAGCTGTGAATACCATGGAATACTCATTGAGTTGCAACAATGAGGCGTCATTCGTAAAAGTCTAGCGAATACATAATACTCATCACCTCTCAATGTTTGAATTACGATAAGGGCAAGTGAGTCGGTTTCATTTTCACACATACATCAAGTTGCAACATGGTTGTAATTGCTGTCAGTCATTCTTCATCCAAAAATGGCAGAATATGCGTTTAAAAACTCTTAAATCGATTGATTTCTTGCCTTTCCCAGTTTCTTGTCATATTCAAGTGAATATTTTTGGGTTTTGTACTGATGCAACATGACATGTATTCAAGACCTCACTTTAGACTTTTGAGAAAGAAGGATTGACATTTTTC